AGCCCCCCGTCGCCCGCGCCCGGCCGGGCACCTCCCCGGCTAGGAGGAAGGCGGGCCTGGGGGCACAGCGCACAGGCCGGCGGACAGGCTGGCGGCGTCCTGCTCCCGCCCGAAGGCCAGATCGTCCGGATCCTCGTTTTGGGGTTGGGCTTTTCCAGTTTGAAAGCGAATGACCCGATGACTGAGCGACGGATCGCAGAGACCACGGCCCGCGCCTCACCCACCCCTCGGGTCGGCCAGTAGCCAGCGTGCCCTCCTCCAAGCAGGCGGTTTTCGTCCCACCTCGTGGAGGAGATCGCCGAAGGCCAGGGGAATTTGCCCTTTTGGAGAGTTTTCCGACAGTATAGACCTCGCGAATCCCAGCCTCCCTTCCGGTGGTGCCATACTTGCCCAGGGACCCAGCAACCGAGTCTCCTGGCCAGCTCGTTGGCTTCTGACTGATTTTGCCTGTGAACCGCTCACGTACTGGGTCCAGGTTCGGGAGCCCCTGTGAGCTGGGGTGCCTCACCCTCGGCATGTAGCTGAGGCCTTGCTGGGTGCGACAAGGCACCACCCAAGACCGGGCGACAGCCAACAAGCAACATGCTGAAGCACCTCCAGACCTTGGGGTCACACCCCTGACCCTCTGGGCCTGATGACGGAGGTTGCTGGCATTTCCCGCCCTCTGAGCCACTCGGACCCCATTCTGCACACCCCCAGGATACCTTGTGAGGGTACCCGGCCTCCTCAGGGAGAAGCTTGCTCCTCTCCTTTCAAAGCATCTTTGGGGCAGGTTTCTTTTTTATTTTAAAAACGTGGGGTGCAGCCGGGCTCGGTGGCTCAGCCTGTAATCCCGCGCCTTTGGGAGGCTGAGGTGAGTGGATTTCCTGAGCCTGAGGGTACGAGACCCGCGTGGGCAGCGAGACCTCATCTCTACGATAAATAAGAAAATAATCAGCCGGGCGTGGTAGCGCATGCCTGTAATTCTGGCTACTTGGAAGGCTGAGGCGGAAGGATCGCCGGAGCCCAGCAGGTCGAGGTTGCAGTGGCCGGGAGTAGGTGTAGGGACCAATTCAGGGTTTGGTATACAAACGTTCATTATGCAGCCACCCTTGTTGATGAGGTGCGGGGCAGATTTCTTTCTCACCGCTTGATCTTCCCTTTTGTTTCTGGCACAGGGGAACTCGGCGGGAATTGTGCCTTAGACATTCCCAGAAGGCCTCTTCCTGCCCTATCCACTCTGAGACAACATGGCCTTTTGGGAGAACCTGGCTTTGGGCTCGTCTAGAGTCAAACCCCTGTGCATGCAGAGTCCTCATCTGTGGAGTAGAGATAGCAATGCCTTTGTCACAGAGTTGCCAGGGTTAAAAAGGGGCCATTCACTGCATACAAAGGCCATTGAATGTGGATTTTCTCCTCCTGCAATTACTTTCTGGAGAGGCACACTCTGGAGCTCTCTTTCTTCTCATCCCCTGATCTTCCTGTACAAAAGGACAAGAGGCCAGGTGTTGTGATCCCAGTGCTTTGGGAGGCCAAGGTAGGAGGAGCTCTTGAAGCCAGGAGTTCAAGGCCAGTTTGGGCAACATGGTGAGACCCTACCTCTACAAAAATAAAAGAAAAATTAGCCAGATGTGGTGGCGCATGCTTGTAGTTCCAGCTACTTTGGAGGTTTACGTGGAAAGATTGCTTGAAGCCAGGAGTTTGAGACTAGCCTGGGCAACATAGTGAGACTCTCATCTCAGAACAAACAAAAACGGACCAGTCTGAAAAAGAGAAAAGAAAGAAAACCCAAGAGAATCACCGCAGCCGACCAGAAGAGGCTGGTCTGCCTGAGGCAGTGCAATAACGAAGCCCCTGTTTTAATCTTGAATGGGAAGGCCTCTCTGAAACAGCCAGTCCACACGCCGACCCTCGGTTCTGCTTTCCTCAGCCCTGTCTGTGAAGCCCACCGACCCACTCAGCTCACCTGGCCTCTGTTCTGTAGGGGTGATGCTGCCCGATTTATGAATCACAATGAAAGCCGATTCGGTGTTTAAAATTCGGTTTGTTGAGATTGTGGTTCTTTTTTATTTTTTTTTGAGTTGGAGTCTCACCCTG